GTATCCTCAACAGTAACTGACTACTGGTGACACAGTTTGGTTTAGTATCCTCAACAGTAACCGACTACTGGTGACACAGTTTGGTTTAGTATCCTCAACAGTAACTGACTGCTGGTGACACAGTTTGGTTTAGTATCCTGAACCGTAACCGACTACTGGTGACACAGTTTGGTTTAGTATCCTCAACAGTAACTGACTGCTGGTGACACAGTTTGGTTTAGTATCCTCAACAGTAACCGACTACTGGTGACACAGTTTGGTTTAGTATCCTCAACAGTAACTGACTGCTGGTGACACAGTTTGGTTTAGTATCCTGAACCGTAACCGACTACTGGCGACACAGTTTGATTTAGTATCCTCAACAGTAACTGACTACTGGTGACACAGTTTGTTCAGTATCCTCCACAGTAACTGGCTGCTGGTGACACAGTTTGATTTAGTATCCTCAACAGTAACTGACTGCTGGTGACACAGTTTGTTTTATTATCCTCAACAGTAACTGGCTGCTGGTGACAAAGTTTGGTTTAGTATCCTCAACATTAATTAACTACTGGCGACACAGTTTGGTTTAATATCCTCAACAGTAACTGACTACCGGCGACACAGTTTGTTCAGTATCCTCCACAGTAACTGGCTGCTGATGACACAGTTTGGTTTAATATCCTCAAAAGTAACCGACTACTGGTGACACAGTTTGGTTTAGTGTAACTACGTGTGACACAGCTTGTTATTTAACACAATAACTTCTCCTTCTTTAAAACAGGTAAACCTCATCATCCTCCTGAACGTTGTATGCATCATCTTCATGAAAGTCCACAACAACAACAATACCGAGATCCAGAAGATTAAGTTAGTATTTGTAAGATATTTAACATATTCAGGTGATGTCTACAATGATCGACGTAAACAATAGAAACGTGAATATAAAGTTTTATAAGCCTAATTGTTAAGAAATGTTGTGTCTTTACATTAATGTTTATTTTATAGAGAACAAAACGTATGTAATAATGAACAATGTTTGTTCCATAGATTGTGTTTTGTGTCCTTTCTTAAGATCAAATTCAATCGTCTTTGTGGTTTAAGATTTAAGTTTTTGAACTCAAAAATATTTCAAAGAAACCAGTATTACTCTTGTCTATACTGCCAAAGTTCCTAGTAGAGCAAACTTAAGTCTAACGTTGCTAGTGTTCCTTGTAGAACAAACTTAAGTCTAACGTTGCTAGTGTTTCCTGTAGAACAAACTTAAGTCTAACGTTCCTACTGTTCCTTGTAGAACAAACTTAAGTCTAACGTTCCTAGTGTTTCTTGTAGAACAAACTTAAGTCTAACGTTCCTAGTGTTCCTTGTAGAACAAACTTAAGTCTAACGTTCCTAGTGTTCCCTGTAGAACAAACTTAAGTCTAACGTTTTTTTTTTTTTTTTACTAGGGTTGCTGTGAGAGCAGCTTTGTTCCTCCTCCCGTTGCTAGGAATTACTTCTATTCTACAGGTGATCCCGGCTCCTCTTGACAAATCACCATTCGAGTTTGGCATGTGGGCATACTCAACTCACCTGCTGTCTTCTACTCAGGGTTTTGTTCTGGCTCTTCTGTACTGTTTTATTAACCAGGAGGTGGGTGTTGTACAGTAAATATGTCATCAACTAACTGTAAATACATATCTAGTTCAGTTGTGATCAACTATCTGTAATACATATCTAGTTCAGTTGTGATCAACTAACTGTAAGTACATATCTAGTTCAGTTGTGATCAACTAACTGTAAG